ATAATAAAATAGGGATTATTTTTCAGATTGATGTTGTGTGTGTATGTATATGAGAGAGATATGACAGGAGTCAGGGAATAGATGCCTAGTATTGTGTAGAATTCCTCTAGCCAGCTCCTCAAAATGTAGAAACTAGACAGTTTTGAATAATGCAAGATTTATATAAAGAATTAGTATTAAAATCATTTCCAATGAATTACTATAGATCCTTTTAGTATTTTCTTTATCTCCCTTGATGTAATTAGATTGAATGAAATCTTCTATGTATTTAATAAATCCTACTCATTATATATATAATCCTTCAATCCTTTCACTTAGTTCATTCAAATTCTTTGTACTCTCACCTGTTACATAAACACCTAGGATACCTAGAAACCGCCAACATATTTATCTCGGTATTAATCTTTAAATAATAATACTTGTATAATAACTTTGATAATTCCTCATGTTGGTATTCTTGTATTTTTGGTCATTATATTTTAAAATTCTCATATAACATCTCTTCTGTATCCCTATACAGATTGTTTTTAAGACCACAATTGGTCATAACTGACAGGCTTTTGCAATTGTTTTGTTTTTCTTTACAGATTGTTGTCTTATTTATAATTTTTACAGTTTCTTTACATTTGATACTGTTGTAGCATACCTACAGACGATAATGGGTATGTCCCCATTCACATAAATACAGTAGTAAATACTGTATGTGGGTCTGCAGTTGGAGATTTATTGTAGAATTCACTTGACTCACTTCTAGCAGTTGACTACTTCTTCTAATCGCTGCTGGTGAATCTTATATGTGTTGTTCTTGTCCTAAGTATTATCGTTCATTACCAACTTTTGTTTGATTATTCTATTCAGTAACCTTACCTTGGTTACAACAAATACATTTGGAGATAATGTTGTAGTATACCTATGGACAATCATGGGTATATCCCCATTCACATAAATACAGTAGTAAATACTGTATGTTGGTCTGCAGTTGGAGATTCATTGTGGAATCCACTTGACTCACTTCTAGCAGTTGACTACTTCTTCTATGTGCTGCTGGCAAATCTTATATGTGTTGTTCTTGTTCTAAGTATTATCATTCATTACCAATCTTTGTTTGATTATCCTATTCAGGAACCTTCCCTAGGTTACAACAGCTATCATTTGTATTATCTCTCTACACATTGTTTTGTTTCTTCTTTTTATAGTTGTCAGATTCAAGTCAAACACTGATTACTACGGTACAGTTGCTTTAATATTTACTAAACATAAAAGAAACAAAATACAGGTGCAAAAAGCCAAAAGATTTTAGTTGCAAAATATACCAAAGTGCATACAAATACAAAAGAAAATTTCGTCTTGTTCAACATCTTAGATATTTTTGAAGACATATTTCAAAGGCATAAATAGACTCGAGAGAAAGTGTGTTGTACTGAGGCTGCCCTAACACTGAGCTTGAAGGAAAGCCTCATGCTTCCAGACATGACTATGCTACCAATGTAAATTTAAATTCAAGAAACTTGGGTTCATGATGGAAAGAAAATATTCAGAATACTTTGTTCTCCATGTGTGCCTCCTATAGTAATGGCTGCTCAGCACTTTTGGGTAAACCTATCTCCTCCTAGGTAGAAGAGTATCCATCCAAGGGGACAACTCTTGAAGATTAACAGTCACAGATAGATATACCAATTCATGGTCATGATCATAAATTCAAACAGTTGCAAGTTACATAGTTCTTAAGTCTATGGCAACCTCTATATTCTTAATAACAATTCCTGGAATAATGGAAGAATTAAATGACAAGAATTAACACCTTCCTGGTATCTTTTTCTTTCTCTTTCCTGGCGTTTCTTTGTTGAGAAATAACATGGTTTCACCTGATATCAAATAGCATCTCTGACAAACAGGTATTAGTCACAGCTTAGTCCTCAGAAGACAAAATGAAAGTAAGGTACAAAAATTGAGCAAAAAAATGGGTATGTTATATAATTAACAGGTAACTTTGTGAAAAATGTTAATTAATGTCCATGGTCAATGGATGAGCACATTAATAGTGAGGGGAAAGAAAAAAGTAAAATATCAATAAATAAATAAAAATACAAATGAATAAAATGGCAGCTTCAAATTATACAACTGTAAAGAAATAACTGTAATGTTACATTAGGGAAACAATTGATTTTAGTCAGATTCAACTGTAAGTTATGATTTTACCCCTAACATATATATATATATATATATATATATATATATATATATATATATATATATGAGAGAGAGAGTATTGTGGGCTGGTGTGAAGCCTGCTGTCAGACAAAGACATTAATTTATGGCTGCTTTCACTTGGGTGAGAGTCAGAGGTCAATCTAAAGACTCCATCTTGGATTGCTATTTGCTTCTTGAAGGTCAAAGGTTTCAAGAAGGATTATAGATGCCCATAAAAACAACAAAAAATAACTCAGTACACCAGATTAGCTCCTAATCTACTTTTAAACTGAAGGGGAGGCCACAGATGTGTAAGATTTAGGTAACTGTCATTTTATTTCATTTTTTTTTTTTTTTACCAGGTGTATGAAGATTAAAAATGCTAAGATTAATGGTTTGTAGAATGATAAGAGTGGATATGAATAGAGGAAGATAAAATATGTTTACAATAAAATCTGTAGGATAATCATGATAAAACTATATATATATATATATATATATATATATATATATATATATATATATATGCGTGTGTGTATATATGTATATATAAAGACATATGGAAGAAAGTTGATCAGATTTGAAAAGTAGTAAAATCTGGAAAGAAAATTGAAAAAAAAAGGATTGACTGGAAGAATGAATTAAAAAGGAATTATCAAATGAACATAAATTGTGAAAACAAAACAAACAGCAATAAAGTGAAAAATAAAGAAAAATATAAAAACCTAATAATAAAAAAAAGTAAAAACCGAAAATAGAATGTAAATAATATATACACAAAAATGAATGTGTGAATGAAAAATGCAGGAAATGTGGAAAATAACAAATATATTCAAATAATGTAAAATAAATAAATATATTATCTATCTATCTATCTATCTATCTATCTATCTATCTATCTATATATATATATATATATATATATATATATATATTCAAATAAAAGTAAAATAAATAAGTTAAATGAAAGTATTTAAAAATTCAAATAAATGAAAATAAAAAATCAAATTGAAAGAAATTTTTTTGATAATGAAATAAGAAAGGAAAAATTTTACTTGCAAATAAGTTTGTCTCTCGTTTGGTCTGCACCTGTCCTCTTTCTTTAAAACATGAGTAGAGGTTTTTACCTTTGTTTTCTCTTTGTGATTGGGCAGTGTTTCCCAACCAATATCTTCTTTCTTTCTTTTTATATGCTATGTCCTTTTAGGACATAGGCGATTATGTCTCTCCACTTCCCTCTATCCCTTGCAGCTCTCAACAAGTTCCTTTCTTCAGCCACCTCCCCGAGACCACATTCTGTCATCCTTTTTCTCAAGGCCGCTAGGTATATCACGCATTGTTTTCCCTTGTCTCTCTTTCCCTCTATTCGAACCGTGAGTATCAGATTCCCCAGGCCTTCTTTCCTCATTATGTTTTCCAGGAGCTTCAGCTGCCTCTTCCTGATGTTAGGTATAAGCCTCCTCCTTGTTTGCAGACCTCATCATTGCTCACATGCTCAGTCCATGATATTCTTCTGTAGAACCACATTTCTGTCACCTTGAGTCTCTTCTTCATCTTTGAAAAAATCGTCCAACATTCGCTGCCGTAAAGGGCAGATGTCACGTAAATTCATAAAGTCCATGTACTATAGATGAAAGTAATATTTATTTTTGGTAAAATACAAAGAATATGACACAAAGGCAAAAGTGGGAATGACGAAGGCTGGTCTTCGTCTGTGTTATAATTAAACTTAGCTAGGCACAATTACTGACCCAAACAAACCACAGTATTCCTTACACCAAAATAACACATTCTTACTTACCATTCTTACTTCTTTCTTTTCATATGCCATGTCCTTTCAGAACATAGGGCGATTATGGTTCTCCACTTCCCTCTATCCCTTGCAGCTCTCAACAAATTCCTTCTCTCTGCTTCCTCCCCCAGACCACATTCTGTTATCCACTTGCTTAAGTCTGCCAGGTATGTCACGCTTTGTTTTCCCTTGTCTCTCTTTCCCTCTATTTGAACCGTGAGCATCAGATTCTCCGGGCACTCCTTCCTCATTATGTAACCCAGTACATAGCCAAAATGGGCGATGGCAAATTTAAGGTGGGCCACAGAAATTTTATAATTGGATATATTCTATGTGAAATAGAAGTAATCTTTTACACTATAATAATTTCATGAGCTGCAGAAGAATTCAAAGTTGGCCATGAGCTAAAAAAAGGTCGGGAATCAATGTGATTGTGATTTCCATTCTCTCTAAAGCATGTCATTCTCTTTCACTCCCAGTAGTCTGTAGCACCTGAGGGGCATTATTGCCTTGCTTGGGATGAATTCATTAAAAAAAAAAAATAAAAAGAATTTTTAACATATCAGGGAAATTAAATTAAACTTCTATCGTTCTTCCTAAGTAGCGTGTAAACTCTTAGTTTAAAGTGCACGTCACTTCTTACTTTAAAACAGCACTACCACAGACCTGAGTGCTCTCTTTCATTCTGGCAATAAATCTGGAAAATCCTTGGCCAAAAATCTTTGTGAAGTGAAGACATGGTGATTCTTGAGTAAGTTTTTAGTTCTGGTTGTTTGTAATATCTGGTTAAACAGACTCGTTAAATTTGCATGCTAGACCCAGATAATATTTTTGTGCCATTTTCTTTGAGTGTGCAGAATAGTGTCTGATTTGCCACCACATGCAGGAACTTATGTTGCCTTCTTTTATATGACCTACCCTTTCAGGCAATCATAGCTCTCCCCAACAACCTTTCTTTTGTTACTCTCAGTAATTTTTGATCTTTTACTGTCCCTCTTGCTCTCTGGCTTACAGCTACATCATGTTGAAACACCAGTTCTTGTACAATCTCTAAAGTTAAGCAACATTGAGTCTAGTCAGTACCTAGATGGGTAACTGCTTGGGAACACTATGTGCTGTAAGCTTGGATGCACGGGTGGTGTAATGGATAATGGCTCAGAATTGTTAATCAGAGAGCTGAGTTCCAATTCCTGTTGGGTTCGTTATATTCATTTACACGCAAGTGCCCTTGGGAAAGGTTTGAATCCATCTTGTTTTCCTCAGCTATGGGTTAATTAGCAAGTTTTGTATCATTAAACCACTATTATCTACAAAAAAATTTATAGTCTGAAAAAATTTTCTGACTAAATAACCTGCAATGTGTTGATAAGCCGTAGAAAACGAATCAACTTTGCCCTCTATTTTGCTATCAGTTCACTCTAACTTGTTACATAATCGCTGTGTCTTCTTATTTATCTTGCTTTAAATATGTCTTGTGAGTGTTATATTCATCAGGCTCTCTTTCCTCATGATAGATCCCTGAAATTTCAACTATCTCTTTCTGATTGCATCAGTTTTTCTTGTAGTTCTTATTTTCTTTAAAATTACCTTGTTGCTCACATGTTCTATCCATGACATTCTTAGCATTAGAAGTACATCTCTGCCACTTAAGTCTCTTCGTTATCGGTGATGAAATTGTCTGTCATTCTCTGCCATATAGGAGATTACAGAGATTATAGTTCAGCAATTGTTTCATTGTTACTAATGATATTGTTCTATCTCTTCATAGCTTAGTTTCTGAATGGCATCTTTTTATGATATGCCTACAGATTTATTTTCACTGTTTCCAATCAAAATATGCACTGTTGGCAATAAGACTAAAAAGCCTGAAACTTTTGTTCAACACTGGAAAGACAGATAAGACATTTCCACAGAAATATCAGCATTTGTATATTAATTAATTTTACTGTTTTTTGCTTTTGCTGATCTTTTGTCTCCTTGGTCCTTTTTTTTTAACAACAGGCTCTGATATGCCTCCACCCCAACCAATAATCACTCACAGATTTTGCCACTCCCCATTTAAAATGAGGCAGAAAAAAGAATATCTCATCAATCAATGTTGGCAGTAAAGAGGAACACAGAAAAGAGTGGATCTCCTGAATGATGTTAATTATGTTATCTCCAGGGATCCCCCCCCTCTTGGGAGTGTTTATTTATGATCCTACTGATTCCTCAGAACAGATTTGTTTATTGAAAGGATATTTATATATTGCTAGAATAGTGGAGATTAAATTTTACAAAATAGGTCTGTTGATATATGAGGAAAAACATTATTTACTTATTGGACACATGCATGCATGTCCATTGTCGCTATATATATGTGTGTGCGTGTGTCCGTGTATACGCAAAGTGAACACAGGTCATCACCAAGCCTTGACAGTCTGTCTCATGCTTGAACACAATCTTCAGGCTCAGTTTTCACTTTTATATTTCTATATCTATATATGTACCATTTCTGATATTGAGCTCTTTTACCCATAAATATAGCATACCTTAAAACTATATTTTTATCATTTTTATTTATATATATACATATATATATATATCTGTGTGTGTATGTGTATTACTTTAATCGCTTATATATATATATATATATATATATATATATATTCTCGTATACTTGTATTTTGATTGGTCATTTCAATTCATATGACAGCATTTCCCCTTACGAGGGGTGGTTAATTAATTTGAACCTTTTAAAACCTTTATTCTATGATCTACATTCAACATCATCACTTGATAAGACACCAGAGGTGTTGAAACAAAACAGCTATTTTTGTAGTGATTTTATAACATATTTATGTCATAATTTTTTAATAAATATATATAATACTAAAACACTGTGAGCTTTGCTTGCGTGTTTGTCACTGTGCACATGAAGTCATATATAGAGAGTGGGGCAAAGAAAGATGTAAATTTATTATCGCGTAGGTAGGTGGTAGAAGGAAATGGTGTGTATAATGATTTAAGCTTCTTTCCACCTCTCTCTCCCTCTTTCCACCTCCTCTTTCTCCCTCTTTCCACCTCTCTCTCTTTTCACTTTTATCTTTCCTCCTATGTAATTTCGTGTGTACTTCAGCTTTCTTTAAACAAACAATATTTTAAATATTTAAAAAAAATATTTTTTGCCATATTTAAAAAATATTTTCAAATGAATATGATTTTAAAATATTTTTTGGCATATTAAAAAATTATTTTTAAGTTAATGTGATTTAAAAAATATTTTAAGTGAATAAGATTTAAAAAATACGATTTGTTTATACAATAAGTATTTTTTATTTCAACTTTCTTCAAACAGACAATATTTTATTGTTCAAATCAACTTCAGTATTTTATAACCTGAACTGTCAGTGACTCAACATGTCACAAGTAGACTAGTATATATATATATATATATATATATATATATATATATATATATATATATATATATACTAGCAGTAGAACCCGGCGTTGCCCGGGGATGTAACAATAAGAGA